ATGCCTTCTCCAAACACTTGTTTTCTGCTTCCTGGACGCGCCAGGGACATGCTGGATGGGAAGTGAGCAGAGTGGGGGGAGCCGAGGGGAGAGAAGGGGGAGGATCACACCCAGCCCGAGCCTCTGCTGGTGTTTTCCTTCTGCCCTCCCCACCCGGAGGGCAGATGCCTGCTGGGAAACTATGGCCACCCAGCCAACCTGACAGCAGGAGAATCCCAAAGCCCAGTGTTTGGATGTGTTGGAAGTGAGACGGGAGGAGAGCTGAGGCTCAGGGAGGGGTCTCCATGTGGGCCAGGACAGACCGGAATGGCTTTGCACAGGACTTCATGGCACGTCCCTGGGGTGCAGGGGAACAGAAAGTGCGGGAGAAGGATTGTCTAGTCAGACTTGGCAGGAACAGTTCTGCCTTTGTTCTGTTGTTAGATAAAGATCTGTGTGCCAGGATCTCAAGGGCTCTTCCAGATTTGGGGGCCTGTGCCTTAGCTACTTCCTGAGAATGACAGGCCTGTCTTCAAATCCCTGACACCATTCCACCAAGGGAGAAGGAGGCTGCATCTCTTGACAGTTAGGGCCGACATTCTGCTCTGTGGGCACCAGTACAACAGTACCTGTTGTATGGGAGGGGTCTGTGGCTGGCTCTTCACCTGCCTTGACCCCAGAAACTCACTGTAGGGGCATCTAAGTAGGGCCACAGAGAAACAATGGGTGTGACTGTGAGTTCGCAAATGACAGCCGCCAATCTGGTCAGACCCCTGCTAAACCTTTCATATATATCTCACTGAACTCATAACCACCAGAGGAGGTAGGCAATGTTGTCACCCCATTTTATAAATGAGGTAGTTACAACCTGAAGTTAAAACCTAATGTTAACGAGGGCAGGAATCAGGGTCTGAACCCAGAGAGTGGTCTTAACCAGCACCCCACCAGATCAGGGGCTGGGTCCCCATCTTCAGGAATAGGCCCATCCTTTACAAAGTTCTTGGCAAGGTTTCGAGGCCAGTCCCAGGTTTCCCAGGGATGCAGGCCAGCCAGCCCCACCTCTCACCCTCTGTCTTCCTAAGGAAGCAGCCCCTCTAATGGCTTCTGGGAAGCTCTCTAAAGCAGAAGAGGCAGGAGAAGGGGTGTGTGTGTGAATATGGGGTACAAACAAGGATAGAGAAAGAAAGAGCCAGGGAGGAGGTGGGGTAAAAGGGGCAGAAATACCCAGAGGAAACAGAAATAAAGGGAGAGAGATGGAGTGACAGAGCAATGGAGGCGAAGAAAGATGGAAGAGATGACACTGGGAGGGAGGGCGAGGGAAGAGGAGGTGGGAGTGATCACAGGGAGGGGAGTGGAGGAAGGAAGCAGGAGCAAAGGGGAAAGAGGGAAAGGCAGACAGGGGTCAGGGAGGGAAGCACACCCACCCCCCTGAACATTAAATACCTAACAGGAGATGACAAATCAAATGGGAATTACTGCGGTAAAAACATAATTAGAAACTTGATTGAAGTTAAACAGAATTTACATAACACTGCAAATTAACTTTACACGGAAACTATTCACTGGGAAGGCAATGAAAAGGCATTTCATTAGTAATCTATATTTAAACAATAGGCACAATGGAGCCTTCTGATGAGGAACTTGGTGCCTTCAAGCAGAGCGAGTGCGAGAGTCTGCCAGAGGACAGCAGCCAGTGGGTGCTGCAAGAGGAAGCGGGCAGTGTCCAGGACAGGACCCCTGCGCCCGACGGTGGGGGCTCAGGTGGTGGACACACGACGCACGTGGGCCAGATCAGATTCTGCCCTAGACTTGCTGTGAGGTCCTGGACCATTGTCCTGCCTTCTCCGGCTCTCCCCTCCCTCATCTGCAAAACGAAGACATTAGAGAGGAGGTAAAGGTACCTGCAAGCCTGGATATTCTAGGAGTGTTTGGGAGATGGTAGAGGGCAAGTAGGAAGATTCAGATTATCTGGGGTCAAACCCCTGCCCTGACACTGCTTAGCTGCAACAGCTTGCAAGCTTCTTCCTCTCCAGCCCTGGTTTATCCATCTGTTCAATGGAGATAAGTCCACTCCCACCCGATGTCACCCAGGCAGTGGAAGGATTTATCGAGAGATGGGGTGGGGCCAGCTTAAAGAAAAGTGAATCTAAAGGCAGAGGATTACTTGACTCATCTGCCTGGCACACTAATTAGATTACCAGTAGCCTCTTGCCACCAACCTCCCACGAAGCCATGCGTCAGCAGAGCACCTTCCCAAGGCTCCTCAAATCCCCCTTGCAGACTCTGAGGGGCAGCTGCTGGAGGGATGGGGGCTCACCAAATCCCTGCCCAGCTCCATCTTATCCTCAGCACGGAGAAGTTTTGCCATATCAGGGTGCATTTACTCAGGACAACAGCTGGACACTGCCCTGCCCCCTTGGTCCCGTTAGCTCTCCTCCCACCTCCCATGGCCCTGCTGAGCATCTGCCCGGCCTCAAGGCAAGTTCAGGGGCAGAGGCTCCTTCCTGCAGCCTTCCCAGAATGAGCTGTGACTCACTGAGTACTGGTGAGTCCTGAACATCACAGATGCACAAGGGGAGACTCTCAGGCCCCCCAACATGCACATGACTGCCTACCTAAGGCTCCACCCCTTTAACTGGGGAGTTCCAGTGGACAGCTCTGGCACACGCTCACAGGCCAGGAAGTTTTTATAGTGTCTTTTAAGGTAAAGGATCCAGGTAGTGCTTAGGGTTCAGTAGGAAGCTGTGGGCCCTGACCCCTGGGGCAGCAGTTTGAGTCCTGTGTTTTCAGACAAATAACAAGGCAAGGAGAGGGAGGTGAGAGGTCAGCAGAGGCAGGAGGTTCTTGAAAGAAAGTGCCAAGCGTGCAGACTTCAAGGCAAGAAGCTCATCTAAGGCCAGGAGTGCTGGCCAGGGCAAGGGAGGGTCTCAGACATGGGCTCACCCACAGCCCAGCCAGTCACCACTGCGTGTCCAGGCGTGAAGGGTAAAGCTGCTCCAGGCTGCCTCCTTCTCCACCACCCTTCTCCCCGGGTGGTTCATTTACTGAGGTCTCAGAACCTTTGGTCTGCTGTCCCCTTTGCTAGAGTGCCTCTTCTCAGCTTCACCAGTAAATCTTCCCTGGCCATTAAGAGCCTGCTCGCCTACTTCTCTTCCTACATCCTTGACTGGGCCTTCTCCATGCCCATTACTGCCCCCACCCACTCTTCCCTCTCAGGCTGGATGCCCTATGACTCAGATTCAGGCTTCTGACCACTCCATCTCCACTGACCTCTGAGGTGACCTCATCAGCCTCATGGCTTACACCACTGTCCACACACGGCAGCGCCTACATGCGCATGTCCTGTCGGGACTGCTCTGCCTCCCAAATCATCTGTCCCACAGCCTCCTCCGCCCTTCCCCTTGGATGTCTGAAAGGCGTCTCAAACAGAACATGCGACTCTGTTCAGCCCTCCCCTGCCAGTAGCCGTGGCTGAGTAAATGACACTTCTGTTCTACCCGTGGCTCCTGTCCCAAGCCTAAGGGCCTTCCTTGATCATTGCCCCACCTCTACTCTACCCGCAAGCCCATCTGCTCTGAAATATATTCATACTTTGATGGCTTCCCACCTCCTCCCCTGCTGCCTGGAGCCTAAGCTTCCCCCACCATGTCCTCCCTGCTCCACTCTTGCCCATCGACATGAGTGGGACCCCCAAGTTCTCTCTGATTTCCCCTCCTCCCCCTCATTCACTGTAGCCACAAGGCTTCCTTGAAGGTGCCAAGTGCACCCAGCTCACTCCCTTCTGGCAGTCATGTTACCTTGTCAGAGGCCATCCTTCACTACTCTATCAAAGAACACTTTGCCCCACCCCGTAGACTCTTACCCAGCTTAATCTCCCTTCTTAAAACAGCACAGACAGTCCCTTCCCTGGGCAGAGACACTGTACAAGCTCTGAGCACTGGGTCGGGAACTGGGTCTGGCTCTGGGATCATGTGCTGCCTCCCCCATGGGTGACAGTGCTCTTTCAGGGCAGGGCTATTTCTGTTCCATCTTCAGAACACAGCCCGTAGCGCAGGCCTGAGCTGGTACAAGGGTCAGTGAGCACTTGAGGTATGGATTAATGAGCACATGAATGGTTGGATGGACAGATGAGTGAATCAAAGGATGGCAGGATGAGGGGATGGATGGATTAAATAATGGACAGAAGGAGGAGTGGGTGGGTAGGATAGTTGGGTGAGAGGATAGTCAGACGGGAGGATGGACAGATGAGTAGGTGAGTGGGTGGATGCTCAGTGGGTAGATGGACAGACGGCTACCACCACAGGCAACCGATAAAGACTTGGCCTCAGTAGCAGTACTTCCCTGGGGAGGAGGGGCTGGAGCAATGAAGTATATACAAGCAAAAGGACAGAAGCTGGTACAGCCAATAGGAAAAAGCCGGGCAGCTCTGGTGCAGCCAGAGCTTGTTGTGTGACCCCTAACAAGGCCATTAACTTCTTTGTGTCTTGGTCTCATGGTCTGAAAATGCAGACAATAATTCTCGCCCAGAGCTGTCAAGGAGATCACTGTGGAGTTTCAAACACTCCACAAATACAATCACGTGCACATCCAGCAAGACACACCTTGGCCAGGTTTGCTTTAGAAAAATCCTTTCTTCTCAGGCCCCATCTGCCCTGCTGACCTTGTTTGTGGCCTTAATGCTACATCCACAGGGACTGAAACCCTTGGTTATACTACTCCAGAGTTCACACAGAGCCAAGATGCTAGGGTGGCTTAACTTCAAATAACATCCAAGTCCAAATGATTTCCATAATCTTCCAGAACTGGAGTAAATGGGGTCCATTTTAGAGATGGACAAGCTGAAGCTGACACAGTCTGTACAGGACACCACACATGAAGTTACAGAGAAGTCGGGCAGCGCGGGTTAAGAAGCTCTGGGAGAAAGTGCCGCCAACTCTCTGCTTGTCAGTCCCCAGCCCTGCTCAGTCACTGCTCATTCACCCCCATGGCCCAGGCGTCAGGGTTTTGGGGTCCGGTGTTACCTTTCTGGGAGTGGCAGCTGAGTGATGGACGTTGACTCTTCTCCTCACACCCCTCGCAGCATTGGTCTGGCACAGCAGGCCTCCTCCTCTGTCGTCTGGGTACACAGGAGAGACAGGACACTTATGAGCAGCCACGCACCCAGACAGCAGTGACTCCCTCCTAGCTCTGTCCCTCCCAGCTAATCTCAGCGGCCTCTTGGACCACTTAAACACGCCCAGGATGCCTGATTTATCAGTTGGCTGTCTCCCCCACCCTGCAGCATTCCCACGAGCAAGTCAACTCCTCCAAATGGGTTTTAAGAATTTTTCTAAAACATATATGTTATGTTTTTTCTAGAGCTTCAGGGCTTTGCATTCTTGTCTTTTCCTTGGTAAGAAAAGCAGAGTGCCATGGCCTCCTTGTGCGGCCCCCAGGCAGGGTGACAGGGAGAAGCTGTCGGGTATTTTTAGCTAGCCTGCAAGCCCTCGCTGAGTTCTTCTCTGTGCTGCGCCTGGCTTCGGGGAATTATCTCACGCGCCGGCAGGCAGCCACTTCCAAAGCCACTCTCTGACCCCTGCCTGAATTCCTTCTCCATTATGAACCGCTCACCAGATCTCTGGCCAATAATGAGAGCCATTTCACGTGGCACACCTCCTTGGGAAGACCAGCCCACTCCCCGCCGCGTCCCCTCCTGCGGGTAGGCCTGGATGGCTTACGTCAATCTACTCAGGAGGCCCAGAATCAGGCTTTAAAGCCTGCTTTAAAGAAGAGCCCTGGTGATTATTTATTTTGTGTTCCCACACTTCGGGCCTTCGCCTATGCCCTTCATGATTCTTGGTCCTAGCTGAATCCCATCAGTATGATGACTGAATTAATATTTATCTTAACTTCAGCTCATTATTTTTTGGCTCCAATAAATCTAGACTTGTCCAAAGTCATCCTCTCCATTGATTTCATATGCTAGTATATATTTCTAATAAACCATAATAAACATATAGCTAATGAAAGAAAAATATATGCTCTTTCTGGTACTAATTCTAGAATCTTGTCACAGGTTACCAGAGTTATGTGGGCCGAGCTTTGGCAAACTCACATGTTTATCAACCTACTCCGTGCATGGAAGGAGAGAGTTGTGGGGGGAGGTGACTGGCTGACAGAGCCCCAAAATTTATTGGACTATAAAGCCATGAGAAGTAAGGGGCCAAGGTCAGGGAGTCCTGGAAGCTTTCAATACTGTTCTTTCTTCCCTGAGCTGGGTGAGGCCATTCCTTTCCCTGAACGTTGCTGTAAGAATCCAGGCAGATTAGGCACAAGGCCTCATGAGAAATTTAGTCTCAGGATGGGCTATCCCAGTGGAGGGCTGCAAGTTATGCAGAGACCTAAGGTCCAAAATGGAGTCTTTCCCCAACATCTTGAGGCCTCTGGTGTATCTGCCTTTTTCCATCAAGCTCCTCCAGGTTGGAACGGGGCAGCACTGGGCTAGAAGTATAATTCCCTCTCAGGTTAGATTTGGAAGCACAGAATGTATCTCCGAACCCCGCAACCTGAGCTCTTGGCTCTCTGCTGGGTTCGTGGGGTAGCCTCTGGCTTTCCCTGTGCCAGGGTTTCCCTAGATGTGTCTTGAGGGGTACAGCCTGGTGATCCCAAAGGCCCACTTCACAGCTCGTGGGACTTGTTGAGCCTCTCTGCCCTCTCGCTCTGCCCACAGCTCAGCGACCCCAGCTGGGCCCCTGGGTTCGTGGCCTGGCTGCCAGCCCCTCCTGCAGAGAACAGGATGTGGGTGTCAGGAGGTGAAGGAGAGTGTGGGGTCGGGTGGGGAGTGGCCTCGGGACGGGACTTCCTGAAGCCAGATCGGTTTACCACAGTCAGTTGGGCCCAGGACCGCACAGCTGTGAGTTATAAATGTCCCTGTCAGAGCCCAGGCTGAGGGGCCCTACTGCCGGTGGAGGCGCCAGGGCCTGCAGCACCCACTTCTCTGGGGGCCTCCTCAGCCAGGGGTGCCCTGCCTGAATGTCTGTCCCTCATGACCTTTGGGCTCTCTTGACTCCTGTCCCAGAGATGCCTGATGTGAGAAGGTCTGCTACCAGCTCTCCTGCTGTTCCAGGTGTGAATCTTGTGGTTCCAGCTACACTGAGAGCAATCAGGACAGGGTCCATCATGGGCCTCTACCTGGCACAAAACTGGGGCTGGGAACAGTCTGCCAGCCAGGCAACAGCTTTGGGGCAACTATTCCAACTCAGCAACCTGCTTCTCATGACCCCAGCTGTCCTGTCTGTGTGCCTGCCCACTGAGGAGGTGAGGGAGGGAGGGCTCCAGCCTGTAGCACAGGGTCACCCGGCCCACAGGCACAGGTTTCTGTACCCTGTACATCCGGGGGAACTTCCCTGAAGGAAGTTCTGCCTGTCCTCAGAGGTCCTTCAACGTGGGGTGTGGACCACACAGTCTCAGAGGCAAGCGTGCCCATACATGACTGTCTCCAAAGCAAAAATGAGGTCCCTCAGCTCCAGGACCCAGGTCATCCTCTCCGGCTGGGACCACCTGCTAGACCCCAGACCCAGACATACAGTAACAATAAGCAGGGGTGGTCCAGGCTTGCGGGACCTGCGGTGATACTATTTTGGAGGTCCTTACATCAAATTACAAATACATATTTAGAATAGGGGAAGAAATCAAAACAAATTCCTAGAGACGTAGTGATCCAGTACCTTTCTCAAGAGGCCCCTTTATACAATTTACCAGAAATGCTCATAAAGAAATGTTCCTGCCAGCAACCTGCTGGCCCTCCCCACCTAGAACACTCTACAACTGCCAGCAAAACTCACCAGGGCATGCAGGGGAGGGACGGGGCAGTAGGCTTAAGCTTCAAGAGCTCCCCAGAAAGTTTGCCTCTAATCAATAAGAGCGATAAAACTGATGATAACAACAACACTGAACATTAATGGACCTTTATCTGGTAAAGTTCTAAGCACTTCATTTGAATTAACTCATCTAATCTCACCACAGCCTAAGAAATGTATGCTGTACCCATTCGTAACAGATGAGGACACAGACACAGAAAGGTTAAGAAACCAGCTCAAGGTCACACAGCAAGGATTTGAATTCAGACAGCTTAGTGTTGGTGCCATTGTGAGTTCCCAAATTCTTTGCTACTTCTCTGGAGGGACCAGGAGAGTTTTCCCTTCCTGGGCAGCTCCAGCAACAGCAGTGACCCAGGTCCAACAAATCCTTACATGCCCAGCACCAAGCTCTCTGTAGTCAATGGGAGGCTCCTGCTGTTTCTCTCTTCCCAGAGCATGCTGGGGTGGGTTCTCTCCATGGGCAGACATAGGCTCCTGGGAAGAGGGGGAATCAATCCTAGAGATGCATTTGACCTGCTCCAGAATGATTCTGGCCAGGGGGCGTGGTCTGATAAAGGTCATGCAGCATGCTGTCCAACGCCTTCAATTTACAGATAAGAATAAAGTGGCTTGGAGAGAAGTGACTACGCAAGGGTCAGCCAGAGAGTGCTGGATGCATGTGCGCTCCAAGGCTAGTCTCTGGAGGGTGGGGCAGGTCTCCTGCAGCCTGAGGATGGCCACAGCCTGGCGCTGGCGGGACAATCTGGCCAGGCGGCAGAGGGAGGAGGCACCCTGTCTTTTGGCCTCCTGGGAGCAAAGCCTTTGTTTGTTCTCTTTGTTTTCCATCTGCCCGAGCCCCTGTGGCCTTCCAGGCTTCCCCTGATTGTGTACAGGGTGATAAAAGGGCAGATGAGCAGGAGATCTGGCGGCAGTGGGGTCACCTTGCACAGACATGGTGGCGGCGGGTGGGTGGCCAGGAATTGGGCTCTGCAATGGCTTAATCTGCAGGGTGGGGGAGAAAATGGTATGCGTTGGGGGCATGGTAGGCCTGGGTGAGGGATGGGGCCATGGTGGCCTGTAGTCAGGGACTGGCCAACTCTGCCCTCGGGCCCTAGCTGACCCTGCTGGACCTCCTGACCTGGTGTTCTCAGATCCTCTCCAAGGGTGTCCTCAACTTCAGTTACTAGTTACTTTAAACCATATCTATGTTCCATCTAAATTATTTATGTCCTGTTATTTCAATCACTTTGAACTAATCACTTTCTTTTTACTTAGCCTCAGCTAAAGCAACATTGTCTTGGAACAGGGTTTGATGTGTTATTTATATGTTTCGAATCACATGAAAATAAATAAGAAGTATGAAGATGTGAAATTCAGATCCCCGTGCCTGTCCTGGCAGTCCCTGGCAGTGCCCAGGAGTTCCCAGCAGTCCCCAGCTGGTGCACAACCAGGGACTGAGGGAGCAGAGCCCAGCCCTGCACGGGGAAATGGGCGGCAGCCGAGGTTTCCACGCACCCACAATGGCTTTGGTTTGGCTCATGGGCTCAGACCAGGCCACCTCTTTCCTCAACTCAGGTTGGAGTTTGGTGCAGACATCCTCTAGCTGCAGATAAATCCATCTCCCTGCAAATTCCTCTGATAAGCACTGGAGGAGGAGCCCAAACACCTGGGTCAAGGGTCTTTCGCTACCGCCATCCTACTAGACCTCAGTTTCTCCATCTGCACAGAAACAGCGAATGAGCCAAAGTTTCCTCCAGTTTTATCAGTCAGACGACCCCCTGAACCTAAATGCCGGTGATTTGTGGTGTTTCTGTGACCCCCAGGACCCTTTAACTACCTCTGCGGACCTCCCTTGGTCGCTTTCTTCCACACCTGACTGGAGACCTCGAGTGGCATCTGGGGTGCAAAGGGGAGCCAGGGCTATCCTGTGTGACAGCTATAAAATTAGATAATCAGCTAATCACCAGCAAATTAGCATCCCATCTTTACATAGAACAAATATAGTATTTACGTAAAAGTTGTTAGGAGTTTCTCTCTTTTTAATTAGCAGAAATAAATGCAAAATGAATGGTAATTAGGCAGCTGATGGATTCGGTAGTACAATTATGCCTGCAGCAGTGCCCCAGTCCTTAAACGCTGCGTGCTCCGAGGAATCAGAGAAGCCTATTTATATAGTTTATTTATAAAACAAAGTTAGCAGGAACAGAGGGGCGAGGCTTGGGCAATGCTGAGGGAGGGGGGTTCTTGGCCACAGGGGCAGGGTCCTGAGAAGAGAGGG